CACACCTCTGGAGAGCTCAGCGCTGTGCGACCCCGGGCGGAGCCAAATAATCTCCAGGAGTCCCGCTCTCCGGGTCCATACTGGAGGGAAAAAACAAGCGTCTGATGAAAACAGAAAACTATGTATAGGATCTGAGACAAATGAGAATCTGAGCTGGCTGAGATCCGCCCGTGGCACCGCTGGAGAGCTCAGCGCTGTGCGACCCCGGGCGGAGCCAAATAATCTCCAGGAGTCCCGCTCTCCGGGTCCATACTGGAGGGAAAAAACAAGCGTCTGATGAAAACAGAAAACTATGTATAGGATCTGAGAGACAAATGAGAAACATCAACTGGAATTGGGATGAAACATTTCTCTACAAATCCAGCTCCTCCGTACATAGGGACTTGAATTCAAAGTGCCTGAAATGAACAAAACACAGAAAGCAAACGCTTTTTTTTTTTTTTAAGAAGCCTAATAGCACTTAGGTTCAAAGTGCTTTTAAGAGAAGTTACTTTTGAATTGTTTTAACAATTCATTGTTTTTGAACAATGTTGTATAACATTACAATTTTCTGCAAGGGTTCAGAACCACAATCAAATGCTACCACATTGTTATTATCACAGCAATTTTTTCTCTTATCACTCCTTAGCATCATATATAACCTCAGCCCTTTATGTCTGTCGAGGCCTTTCTGAGCTTTACCACATTCGAAAATCCTTTAAAACATTTCTCAGAACAACTAAGGTAAGAAACTCAGGGAAATTTGTCACACGAAAGGCAGAAAAACAAAGACCGTAAGTAATTTGAAAACGATGAAGAATTTTGTCCATTTACAGTTTACAAAAGAATTATTAGAAACCCCACACCAAATGGCAAAGCACATTCTGTAAATGCGATTGACTCAGCAACTTAGCCTAGGCAAACAAGAGTGTCCATCTACACCCACCTAAAGAGAAGGCCCCTCCAGAAGAACACAGCGACTTACTATAAATACGTTCACCACCTTCAGGGAATTTCATCTGGAATTGAATCCCTGCCAAGAGATAGAGATGAATAATCTTGCGTCTTAGCGAAGTACCATGGGACTTTTAATGACCATTTGACATCAAAGGCAGCACTTTCAGCGGGAGCTTGCTTTCTTTAAAGTCATTCCAGGGCTGTGGCTGGGACACTGCTTCAGAGTGAAATAGTGCTCGTTTTGCTTTTGACATCCATTCCCCAATTTTTTCTTAGAAGCTTCCTTAATAAGCATAGAAAACAACAGTTTTGTTTTGTTTTTTTTAATTCTAGGCCTCATCCAAAGCTTTATATACAAATGCCAGAAAAACAAACGAACAAAACATTTCTCCGTGAGTCTCTTCTGCTGTGACCTCTACCATGGAGACTGACTGGAAGTCAGCTCTAACTGTGTGAAGAAACAACAACCATACAGTGCTTATGTGCCGGATAATCCTGGAAGCTTTTCATGGATTCTAATGCGTTCATTTAATCTTTTTAAAAACACTGCAAAGTAGTTATTACCCTTATCATTGCTTTACAGGTGAGGAAACAGGCAGAGGGCTAAGGTGACTTATCCAAGGCCTAAAGTAAGTAGTGGCATTAGGAATCAAACCAAGGCATCAGAATCCAGAACCTGTGCCTCTCTGCCATTCCGTATCATACCAAAGTACCTACCAGGTTACAGCCAGGAACACTGAAGACTGTTTACTAATTTGTCATCATTTTTACAAGTAATATGCATAATTTTATCTATATAATTTTATTCTGCTAGAATCCCTTATATGTTAATACAAGGCTAATAAATTCCCTTCCACATTTTCTCAAAATTTCTTTATTCTAAGATCTCAACTTATAATAGTTGCTCACCACAGACTATTAGAATTAAAAAGTCTCGGGCTGGGGATTTAGCTCAGTGGTTCCGCTGCCTGCCTCGCAAGCACAAGGACCGGAGTTCGATCCCTGGTACCCCCCAAAAAAAGTGTAAAAAAAAAATTAAGAAGTCTCAAATTACCCAATCCAGCTCATTCCTATAAAGTCTCTAAAACAATTTATTGTACAAAGAGAAAAATCACAAATGCAACTGCAGTGTTGATGATTCAACAAATAAAAAAATCAACTAACAAATATATTCAACACATATTATCACAAAAAAATCACTATGCTAGGCATAACAAGGTTTACAGAGGCATCCTGGTGAGTTCTCTTCCTAGTGATTTTATAATTTATTCGAACAAAACAGTTAGATGGGAAATGATATATAGAAATGGAGTAGATATAGTGAGAAAATAACATTTGCAAATTTTGTTACTACCA